GCATTTAGTCCATTTACATTTAAGGTAATTATCGATATGTATGTTCCCATTCCCATTTTCTTAATTGTTTTGGGTTCATTATTGTAGGTCTTTTCCTTCTCTTGTGTTTCTTGCCTAGAGAAGTTCCTTTAGCAGTTGTTGTAGAGCTGGTTTGGTGGTGCTGAACTCTCTCAGCTTTTGCTTGTCTGTAAAGGTTTTAATTTCTCCATCAAATCTGAATGAGATCCTTGCTGGGTAGAGTAATCTTGGTTGCAGGTTTTTCTCTTTCAACACTTTCAATATGTCCTGCCACTCCCTTCTGGCTTGCAGAGTTTCTGCTGAAAGATCAGCTGTTAACCTTATGGGGATTCCCTTGTGTGTTATTTGTTGTTTTTCCCTTGCTGCTTTTAATATGTTTTCTTTGTATTTAATTTTTGACAGTTTGATTAATATGTGTCTTGGCGTATTTCTCCTTGGATTTATCCTGTATGGGACTCTCTGTGCTTCCTGGACTTGATTAACTATTTCCTTTCCCATATTAGGGAAGTTTTCAACTATAATCTCTTCAAATATTTTCTCAGTCCCTTTCTTTTTCTCTTCTTCTTCTGGAACCCCTATAATTCGAATGTTGGTGCGTTTAATGTTGTCCCAGAGGTCTCTGAGACTGTCCTCAGTTCTTTTCATTCTTTTTTCTTTATTCTGCTCTGCAGTAGTTATTTCCACTATTTTATCTTACAGGTCACTTATCCGTTCTTCTGCCTCAGTTATCCTGCTATTGATCCCATCTAGAGTATTTTTCATTTCATTTATTGTGTTGTTCATCATTGTTTGTTTCATCTTTAGTTCTTCTAGGTCCTTGTTAACTGATTCTTGCATTTTGTCTATTCTTTTTCCAAGATTTTGGATCACCTTTACTATCATTATTCTGAATTCTTTTTCAGGTAGACTGCCTATTTCCTCTTCATTTGTTAGGTCTGGTGGGTTTTTATCTTGCTCCTTCATCTGCTGTGTGTTTTTCTGTCTTTTCATTTTGTTTATCTTACTGTGTTTGGGGTCTCCTTTTTGCAGGCTGAAGGTTCGTAGTTCCTGTTGTTTTTTGTGTCTGTCCCCAGTGGCTAAGGTTGGTTCAGTGGGTTGTGTAGGCTTCCTGATGGAGGGGACTAGTGCCTGTGTTCTGGTGGATGAGGCTGGATCTTGTCTTTTTGGTGGGCAGGTCCACGTCTGGTGGTGTGTTTTGGGGTGTCTGTAGACTTATTATGATTTTGGGCAGCCTCTCTGCTAATGGGTGGTGTTGTGTTCCTGTCTTGCTAGTTGTTTGGCATAGGATGTCCAGCACTGTAGCTTGCTGGTCGTTGAGTGAAGCTGGGTGCTGGCGTTGAGATGAGATCTCTGGGAGATTTTCGCCGTTTGATATTATGTGCAGCTGGGAGGCCTCTTGCAGACCAGTGTCCTGAAGTTGGCTCTCCCACGTCAAAGGCACAGCACTAACTCCTGGCTGCAGCACCAAGAGCCTTTCATCCACACGGCTCCTTAATTTGGGATGATTCGTTGTCTATTCATGTATTCCACAGATGCAGGGTACATCAAGTTGATTGTGGAGCTTTAATCCGCAGCTTCTGAGGCTGCTGGGAGAGATTTCCCTTTCTCTTCTTTGTTCTCACAGCTTTGGATTTGGCCCCGCCTGTGCGTGTAGGTTGCCAGAGGGCGTCTGTTCTTTGCTCAGACAGGACGGGGTTAAAGGAGCCGCTGATTCGGAGGCTCTGGCTCACTCAGGCCGGGGGCGGGGGGGGGGGGGGGGGGGGGGGGGGGGTCACGGAGGGCGGGGTGGGAGTGCAGGGTGGGCCTGCGGCGGCAGAGGCCGGCGTGACGTTGCTAGCCTGAGGCGCGCCGTGCGTTCTCCCGGGGGAGTTGTCCCTGGATCCTGGGACTCTGGCAGTGGCGGGCTGCACAGGCTCCCCGGAAGTGGGTGTGGATAGTGACCTGTGTTCGCACACAGGCTTCTTGGTGGCGGCAGCAGCGGCCTTAGCGTCTCATGTCTGTCTCTGGGCTCCGCACTTTTAGCCGCGGCTCGCGCCCGTCTCTGGAGCTCTCTTAAGCAGCATTCTTAATCCCCTCTCCTCGTGCACCAGGAAACAAAGAGGGACGTAAAAGTCTCTTGCCTCTTCGGCAGGTCCAGACTTTTCCCCGGATTCCCTCCCGGTGCACTAACGCCCTGCAGGCTGTGTTCACGCTGCCAACCTCAGTCCTCTCCTGGCGCTCCGACAGAAGCCGGAGCCTCAGCTCCCAGCCCCGCCCACCCCGTCGGGCGAGCAGACAAGCCTCTCGGCTGGTGAGTGCCGGTCGGCCCCGATCCTTTGCGCTGGAATCTCTCCGCTTTGCCCTCCGCACCCCTGTTGCTGTGCTCTCCTCCGCGGCTCCAAAGCTCCCCCACTCCGCCACCCGCAGTCTCCGCTTCCGAAGCTCCCCCACTCCGCCACCCACAGTCTCCGCCCGCGAAGGGGCTTCCTAGTGTGTGGACACTTTTCCTCCTTCACAGCTCCTTCCCGCTGGTGCAGGACCCGTCCCTATCCTTTTGTCTCTGTTTATTTTTTTCTTTTGCCCTAACCAGGTACGTGGGGGGTTCCTTGCCTTTTGGGAGGTCGTTCAGTAGGTGCTACGTAGGAGTTGTTCCACGCGTAGATGTATTTCTGGTGTATCTGTGGGGAGGAAGGTGATCTCCGAGTCTTACTCTTCCGCCATCTTCCCGGAAGTCTCCCAAGGTGTTGATTAATGGTTGCTGTTTTGTAAAACTCATTTAGAAACAAAAAGTGATTTAGAATGAAAAGCTTCATGCGTGGCATAGAGTTTCCCAGCCACAGCAAGGTGACCTGACTCAGGCAGGGAAATCAGTCTGCTGAACATGGAGAGAAGACGATTTAGACACGAACACCTGCATGCGTGCACGCCCACACCCCCTTAAGACTCTAGCATCTGTATTTTGAAAAGGAGAAGAACAGAGCCAGCCCAGGCTCACTTTGCAGACTTCAGAGGTGAGCACCAAGCTTCTCAGGTAGCCCTTACCCATGACTCTGCACTCTCCACAGGTCACTAACAGTGTTAACTGTTTGCAGCCTGGGAACCCGTTACAAACACATGTTCGGGCCTTCCCTGTCTAAAGCTGCCGGGATGTGTTTTGCTGAGCATTTATCTTCCCTTTGCAGAGCTCAGCACGTCTACGTGGTGTGCACCAGCTGGGCTGGGCTGCCTGGAGATCTGCCTTTCTCTAGGGCACCTTGGATAGCACCCACGCTGTGTCCCTGCCTCCATCCTCGGTGTGTGTGTGTGTGGAGAACCAGCGGGCACCGCGGGCACCGCTTTTGCTCCTGCACTGGCCCCTCCTCCTCCAGCCCCACCAGCGCTGCCTGGTGGACTGTTACCCTCTCTCACTCGGACAGTTGCAATACTTCTCACTGCAGCCCTGCTCCCTCCACCTGTTCTCCACTCGACCACCTGGACAATCTCTGAAGCAGAGAAATGAGGGAGTCGCCTGCTCAAATGACTCTGAATGACTCTGATTACCTCTGGCAGAGTCCAAACTCCCCCGCCCTGTTTTCCAGGCCCGTCACCTACTCACGGCCCTCCACAGTCTGGCCTCAGGCTTCCTCTGTGGACCCATGTGGGAGCACTTGCCATCAGAGACACAGACATCGCAGGCTCACCCCTCACAGCCCTGCTTATTCTGTAATATTTTCACCTTCTTTGCCAGGGTGTGGTGGGAAGTATGAACTTTGGAATCAGCCCAGCCTGGGTTTTATTCCAGTAATAGCATTACTGAGTATGAGATCTAGGATAAGGTATTTAATCTCCCTTACAAATGAGGAACTGTAGCGGGAGGGGGCTTATCCTGTTGCCTTAGCTTCCCAGTGAATCTCCGGGGTGGCCATGAGGTGATAAGGAACCCCATGTGAAAGAGTAGAACAAGACATATTCCTTGGGATTTACAAAGAGGGGCCTACGAGATCCAGCAATCATGGCCCCAAAAGACTGTGTGAGAGAAGGCTAGAGAGGAAGTGAACTTCATGAGGTTTACACATTCGATTTGCCCAGTAACCTCATCTCACTGGAGGTGAGAGGGCAGAATCTCTCTCAAGATAGAGGGTGAAGCTTTCCACCAAAAAACCCTCCTCAGAAAAATTCCCCTTTCCCCTCTCTCGGTGTCTTCAGCCTCAACATCCCTTTACAGAAACAAAGATGTTAGTTAAAAAATCATGACACCACAACACATGAGCTGTCCAAGGGAAAAATGTAGCAAGAGGCAACCAATTACTACCAGAGCAACTGGGTGGTGGCCAATGTGGTTGCAGCAGCCAAAGTGTCTTGTTTCTCAAAAGCTCTGCTGAGAATTTATTGCCCATCTTCTTCTAGTCAAGGAAGGTTCGTTGTAAGGTTGCCAGCTTGCTCAAATAAAGAGAGAAGGCTATTGAACAATTACAGGGGCAGCTCATGCAGTCAGGCACAGCTGGTCTTCATGGGGACTGCAGATGGGCACTGGGAAGCCAGGAGGGATCCAGGCAGATTTAAACCTGACCTGAGTCTGAAGTTTTGTATTAGTCTGGTCTGGACTTTGTCATACCTGAAATTGGGACTGGTTTCATAACTGCAAGTGAGAAGGAAAGGTAGGAATCTGGTATTGTCGAATTTCTGACAGACTGTGTTTGAAGGAGATAAAGGTGTTTCTAGACTGAAGCCTAGTTCATTGGGCTCCTTCAGTAAATAAGTATATCCAGTATGTAAAAACATCTAGAATAGTGTTTGGCATATAGTAAGTGCTCAATAATTACTAGCTATACTAACAATGGTTATTATTATTATAGTATGATCACCCAGTGCCTGGCACAGAGTATTATGATGAGTTATTCAAGTGCATATCTCTCCCTCCACTAGACCAACACTCCCTTTGTTCCATAAGTAGTAGGTCTGGTAAGAGCAACCTGCATGAACATGATTCTCTGTACCCAACAAGGATGAGCCACGATACTCACAGAAAATAGTGGGACCTGGAGAGCTTGATGCACAACAGCAGAGCATGTGTTCATTGGCTCTGACCGACTACTGCACCGACATGCTGGAGTTCTGGATTCTTTTCAGATACGACTTCTGACAAGAAACAGGGGCAAAAAGATGTAAGCGAGAGAGATAGAAGGGAAGAGAAAGGACATCTCTAGGTGGCCTACTGCATGCCAGGGACTGCGCTGGGCCCTTTACATTTGGTATCTCATTTAACAAGATTAAATAATGAACAAGTGCAAATGGTGGCTTTTATCACCCTCACAGAACATGGATACATTTTAAAAATGTGAAATGCTGGTCCAGAGAGCTCTGAGCCTTTTTTCTTCCATTATAATTCTTGTGTAAACATGAAACTACACAAGTTTAAAGATGGAGCCTCCCGGGCTTCCCTGGTGGCGCAGTGGTTAAGAGTCCGCCTGCAGATGCGGGGGACCCGAGTTCGTGCCCCGGTCCGGGAGGATCCCACATGCCGCGGAGCGGCTGGGCCCGTGAGCCATGGCCGCTGAGCCTGCGCGTCCGGAGCCTGTGCTCCACAACGGGAGAGGCCACAACAGTGAGAGGCCCATGTACCGCAAAAAAAAAAAAGATGGAGCCTCCCTGGACACAAGCATAAGAGTTCCTAATATAATCAAAATCCTCTTATTTATTTTCTTGCCTAAGTGGCTTCTCCCAGGAGGACAGCAGTTGCATTTCTTTCGTTCTGTGTGGCAGTAGTTGCAAATTAATGTTCTCTGCCATCAAAACAGCTCTACACACTTCTGCCAAAGGTAGTTATCTCATCTGATAACAGGTACAGCCTTGAGACGGTGGAGTTTTAAACCCCAGATCTTAGAAAGTCTGGGCAATTAGCCACTCACTTGCAGAAAAGAGCGAGGAAGGCCAAGACAGCAGTAAAACAAAAACTTGTATGACAGCTGTTGTTCCAAATAATATCTGCAATTATGCTTCTAGATTGTTCTCTCCATCTATAGCCTAGAGTAAGTGAATTGAGGTGGTAAATAGGAGGAAAAAGAAGGCAAAGAATGGAGAGGTGATGAATAATTAGCAGGTTCTCAGCTTAGCATTCCAGGTGGTGGGTATTAGCTGGAGAATGCCTTCACTTTCAAACAGAGATCGGAAGGCATACGCCTAAGAAAAAGCTACAGAAATGTCACTTGAGAGAGAATTTTAGAATCAAGATATATATGAAGCACATTAAATGAAGGATATACTACAAGATTAGAATTACATCTATACACAAACCCGTAGAATTAAGTTATACCAGTATAAAAATTTGTTGAATTAAATACATAGGTTTTTGATGTTTATCAGCCAGAGTGTATTTTTCAGTTTAGAAGTTGCTTGTGGGAAAAACTACTGGCTCTAGAATAAGCATTTCTTGGCATGGATCTTAGCATGGTTGTATCTGGAAAGAATTTACTTCCAGAGACCTGGCTGGAGATAGGAGGTGAATTCAGCCATAAATACATCTACATGGTTTGGTTCAGTAAAAACTCCATGTACCCTGTTAAAAGAATATTACTTTATCTTTCACTACTTATGTTGAACAATTCTAAAACCTAACTGTCTTGCTCATCTGGTTTCAGGTTTATATGGAAAAGTGGGCATAAGAAGTCCACTTAGTTCAAAGCTTGTGGCATGTGGGGTTAGAGGCCTCCAGTTAGTGTCCCAGATTTGCCCCGACTGGCTCTGTGAGCAACATTGCCTCAGCAGACTCGTTGGCTGCCTACCGGCTATTCACTCTCTTCTTGCCCCTCACTTCAGAAACACCATTTTGCCCACAGCAGCGATATGTCCAACTCAGAATACTCACCGCCCAGGACTCCTTGCAGCTAAGGCTGAGGCTTCATTTTCTAACCTATTGAATATATTCTCTTATTACAACTGAGTGATCTCCTCTATTGCATGCATGGTTCTAGATTTTATTCTCAGAATATTACATTAAAAAGGAAATAGTGTGGGACTTCCCTGGTGGCGCAGTGGTTAAGAATCTGCCTGCCAGTGCAGGGGACACGGGTTCAATCTCTGGTCCGGGAAGATCCCACGTGCCACAGAGCAACAAAGCCCGTGCTCCACAACTACCGAAGCCCGCTCGCTTAGAGCCTGCGAGCCACAACAAGAGAAGCCACCGCAATGAGAAGCCCTCACACCGTGACGAAGAGTAGCCCCTGCTCGCCGCAACTAGAGAAAGCCCGTGTGCAGTAATGCACACGCATTGGGTTGCACACACAAGACCCAATGCAGACAAAAATAAATAAATAAAATAAATAAATTTATTTTTTAAAAAAAAAGGAAATAGTAGTTTAACCATGACTCCAGTAAAAGGAACCAGGCTAAACGACCTCTTGCCCATCTTCTTGTCTACTTATCTGAAAAGGAGTCATTCTAGAACTAAGCTCCATTTGATGTGTGGCATCAGGGAGCCCTGACACTTAAGGGTAAGATTTCTATCAGAAGAATGAATCAGGGTTTAAACTGGGAAATATTCAATTCAGAAACAATTTTTAAAGTTTTACAAGGTTTCACGTAGTGTTCACTGTTGACTATCTTTTAAAAAACTGAAGATCCCAGGATTGAAGAATCATAGGTACTTTTTAGTTTTCTTTATACTTCTCTATGTTTTCCAAATATTCTACAATAAAGATTTACCACTCTATAACCAGAAAAGAAAGATATTTTGGAGTACAATGAAAGGGTTTAGAGAAAAAAAGAAAGGCCTGATAAATATAATTTCCTTAGAGAATAGCATTACATAAAATAATATTAATAAAAATAAATGTCAGCATTGACATTTTCATCAAATATGCTTTTGAATGTCAGCTGAAGTTTGCTTCTATCATGTGTGCATTCCAAGTAACTGAAATATTTAACGTCTGAGGATTTAATAAGATACTCTGTAAAATTCCCACTGATCTAATAATTTTTCTCCTTATGGACAGACAAGAGAAGCCCATTATCTTCAATGCAGGATTCTGCTTACATAAATAGCCTAAATCATGGGGCTGGAAACAAGAACTGAGCAAGTCCAAATAACTCCCGGCTAACACTAGTATGACATTTGGTTAGGGAAGATGTCCCAAGAGGAATGTAAACTATTTGTAAACATCCTGTTACTAAAACTCGGACATAAAAAGAATGACAAATGGACTGGATTCAGCAACTTGATTCTAAGCACGCATGCGTTTGGCTCCCGTGAATACATTTTTGGCACATACTATTTTTCATGTTCTCTTATGTGGATATCGTCCCTACCGTCTGAGGAAAGATCAATCAACATTTACTACTTGCCCAAGAACAGGTTGAGAGCAATCAGCACCCTCACTGCTGGCCCTGAGGTCGAGCAGAGTGAGTCACAGAATTCTCATTCCTTGCTGAGTCTCCCATCCAATTTCCCTCCAAGGCTCACCCCTGGGGACTGATTACAACCATCTGCTTAAGAGCTATAACTCTGACCAAAAACATTAAAAGCTACAAATTGTTAAACAGAAGGAATACAAGAACAACAAGGCAAAATGACTAGATCTCAAACCATGCTTGGAATTCATTATCCCCAAACAGCTTCCAGTGCATCCAGCTGAGATCTCAGAAGGTACCAGTCAAGTGGCGAGGGAGTGACAGGCTGAGGCTTCCACTGGAGTTGGACCAGTCCACGTATGGGTCCAGGAGCTCGGACACAGTGTTCGAATGTCACTGCTACATTTTCTCTGCTTACAGTCCAGCTCCATTTGGGAGAATTTGTGGAAGGGCTTTTTTTGGTCTGGGTAGTTTCTTTATTGGCAGATTTACTCTTTCAAGATATTTTTAAGGCAAAGGAAGTGTAATAGGAAACCTGCAGCATATTAAGAGTTAGATATTCCCTTGGAAAAAGTGGGATGATTAAGAGAACACTTTGAAGCAGGCAATGTGTGATCAATATGTGGAGAGAGAGGATCAAGACAAGGAAATCTTTACTAGAAAGAGACAAGAGAAGAGGATTTCAGTGTTAACGCCGTTTAAAAGCCAGGCGTTCCTCTGATAATGAACTGTAGCTACAAACCACAAGGGATAACTGCCTATTGCTTTATTAAAAAGTAAAAAGATGAGAATGTCTAGACAAGAAAAATATCAGAGATCATGTCTTAAATGTTCTTGTACTGGAAAACAGAAAACCTTATACAGTTCCTTCTCACTTTCCTGCTTTCTTACAACCAAAACCCAAGAGGTGAGGAATTGTGGAGGGAATTTTTCTGGGACCCAAGGCCATTCCCACATAAAAGACCGGCAGGTGCTTCAACATGCCTGAAGCCTTCCTTCTCATCAAAGGAGATAAGACAGTAGGTGCTTTGAGGGTAGGGTCAGTATCCGAATTTTTTTTACATCCCCTTCTCCCCAAACACTGTATTAACCACTGAGAAGCCTCTCAATAAACGCTAGATGCACTGAGTGAACTGAATTGTAATAACTTGGGTTTTTGTTGACCTTGTTCTTTAAGTCATATTTTCTGTCAGTTGTTTAGATTTGCATCTCAGTATGAATCGTACACAAGGCTTAGGAAAGATGAAAGAAGGATGGAGAACAAGGACTGATGAGTTCGGGATAACGTGAGTGAAATATGGTCTCGACTGCACCCATCTGTTAAATGAGGAAGATGGACGAGGATGACCTCTAAGTTCTTTCCAGCTTTAACACATTATGAGCTTTGCTGCATCTCCCCTCTCATTGATATTTTTGCTTTTAGCACCTCACAATTCGACCCCTTTCTGAAATACTGCATTTTCTATTCATTCCATCACTATTAATCTAAAATATTGGAATGTCCAACAAAGACGGGCTTTAAAATAAAGTATTTACTAAATAAAATAGGAGACATCCCTATAACAGAATACTGTTGACAGTACGGCTGGTAACATATTGACATTGTCGCTAGACGGCCATTTATTAAAGTGGAAAGTTGTTCATAAGTTAAAAAAAGTTAAAAACCATGATATCATAGCAAAGGAAACCCTGGAATATCTGCAAAGAGATTCACCAACATATGATTCTCTCCCAACGGTGGGATTATGAGTGACTTTTATTTTTCTTTTTGGATTAATGCATTTTCTAATATT